TTTATAGAAGCCTTAGCAGCAACTCGGAAAAGTCTGTGCATTATAAGGTCAAGAGAGCTTAAAAGGTCAGGAAGATGGGCAGATGTGGACAACTAAACCAGCGGCTGGATCATAACACTAGCTCATATAGATATATATTGCAGTATATTCCAGCAATTTGCATGTCCATGTGCTGATACAAAATTTTACTTTAAAATTAGTAATTCTTAAAGACAAATCATAATTTTTTGCTTTCACCATATTTCTCTTTCACAGTGCCTGGGTTTTTCCACTAGAGTCAACAGGATTTTGCAATCAGAAAGCGCAGGAGCTTAAAAGTACACCCATGACATGAATGTAGAAGAAAATGGTTTCCCAAGTATTTTATGGAATTTGTTATTTTTAAATACATTTTTGAAAAGTAACCTACAGTAAACAAAGATTTATTGTTACATAAATAAACAATGAGACAATTACAGCCTCTTTATGGAAACCATATTAGTCATGCATGTCTAATGAAGCATTACTGAGCTATCACGGGGAGATAGCCTGATGTGTGTGATTAACAAAATAATATTCATAAATAGCTAATGAACAAGGATGATCCTTTAAAATTTTTGCGTATCCTGCTATATTGAGAGTTATGTTTTTTGTCACTTTCTAAGGACGACCTTAGCCACTGATTTCCACCCTTAAAACGAGAATATTAAAGAGCACAATACAACTATTTGCATTTTTGCCTTCTACAGACCATGCTTTTGAAAAATACAAAAGAACTCTCATGGAAGTCTACCACTGAAGAACCCATTTCAGCTCGTGCCGTACTGTGTCTGAAAGATGACATCTTGAGATCTCACCGGGGTGCAGGGGGAATCTGACAGAACAAATGGTCAAAAATTGTTTTCATATAATATGCAGCCATGAAATCTCCGAAGCGGCACTGGGTAGAAAAAGCCTGGGTTTAGTAATAATTGTGGGAGATTTTTAATGTTAATTAAAAAAAAAAAAGTATTTCCTCCAGGTATATATTTAGCAAACATATTCTAGAGAAGGCAAGTGGGATGGAAAGCCAACATACGACAGCTGACCAAAAAGGTGCATTTATAAGAAAAAACAGGGTCAAAACCCATGTGTAATGACAATTTTTGGCATACAAGAGGAGAACATCCTGTCAGTCAAACCAAATACAACTTCAGAATTTACAGCTAATGTTGGGACTTGAACAGCAGAACAATTTGAGGTGTTCTGCCCACGTGAGCAGGTTCCTCCAGCAGACGAGCGAGTCTGTAACTATATAGAAACCACAGGCTTGGAGGGTGAACTCTGATAAGCATTCTAAAATACATCAGCAAGTATTTGAAAAGTGGTACGAAGGGACCTAGTTAGATTAATCCATGGAACAGAATGATGAAACCTAAGAGAGGAGTGTTAATATTTCTATTGCAGTGCTATAGATGAATTAAACTGTATCGCATCTACAGTGCAAAATCACAGCAAATCTTTCCTGTAGTTTTCTCGGTGAGATAAATTCTTCCCAAATTATATTCCACCTTCAACCTCATTTTCTTCATGGACAAATTTACTCAAAGGGCAGAATTCCTGATGGCTGGAATAACAGCGTTATTAAAATCAATCTTTTTTTTGATGAATATTAGGTCTGGAACATATTAAAAAGAGCTATAAAGTACAGGGGGAAAAACCTTGCTTATCATTTTCAGGAGCAAGCCAACTCCAGCCCTTCATCTGTAATGAAATATGGAACAATTCCCCTAAATCATCTCTACAAAGTCAGCTACGACACTGCCAATTTTTAAAAATTTGCTAGTTTTCAGCTACAAATTGATTTTTTATTGTGATAAATTAAAATGCAATAGTAGCCTACAAGATACCAAACATACAGAACCCTACAATTTTTCAGAATATTTTTTTCCTTTCCTAACGCATCAGACTGCCATTGTGGCAGATGTGATAGCAGTAGCCAGTGATAAAAATTAAGAAAGGACACTCTAGAGACGTACATAACCTTTCCAAATAAACAATAAATGAGCACTGTGCCCCAAAATATCCATTTGGGAATCCCAGAATTACAGAAATACAACTAAAAATAAAGCATTGTGGGGGATAGGGAAGGCAGTTAAAGGAGGAGAAAACAAATGCAAGATTATCCAGGCTGTTCCCTATTGAGGGCATATTTTTTTCCCTGATGCATGAATGTGAACGTCAGTCTCCAAACTGTATAAACTCTTAACACTGATACCAGAAGGTCTGCATGAGCAAAGCACAAACTTTTTCCTGCCCCCTTCCCTTCTGTCCCATCAAAACAGCCAGGCAGAGCAATCATACATCCCCAGTTTTGCCAACTTTTGGGATCTTCTCTACTGCTTCGAAATCAAGCATAGGATTATCAGCATCCTGCATTGCCTAACTGCATCGTCCTTCTTTGGCTTTACAGGAAGCTCCACATAATGTTGAGATTGTATTTGACGACCAACAGGAACGGGAACAAGATGACAACTGTGGGTTGACGAAGCAGAGACAGGCTGGATGAGAGAGACTATGAGAAGGATGGGTCAAGGATGAGAAACTCTGGGACACAGAGAGATTCAAGCTGGGGTTGACGAAGCAGAGACAGGCTGGATGAGAGAGACTATGAGAAGGATGGGTCAAGGATGAGAAACTCTTGGGACACAGAGAGACCCAAGCTGGGGAAAAAGCCAAAGGGATGGTGGCCGTTGAGAACTGCTAGAGGAGGTCACGCATCCCTGCTCCAAAAGCTTGGCAGGGAGAGCACGGTTCTCTTGCTTTCCAAAACACACGTAAAAACCGATGTCAAAAGCTCCCCACATCCCTCTGTCACAGTCTGTGTCAAGGAGAACTCAATACTCCTGTCCATCACTCCGGCAGCTCAGGGGCAGACAGCTGGAAGGTGGATTTAAAGGTTTCAGTCTCAGCACCAGTGACTGAGTGACAGGGTTACTATAAGGATGATATAGTTATGTCAGATTTAGAGTACTGGGTGTCAAAGCTATGAAATGAAGGAGACTGCCTCTCATGTCCCCTCCTCACCAGCTGCAGATGGGAGTGTGTGCAGGACGCTGCAGGAAGGGCAATCTGGCTAAACCACACCTGTGTTTCTAAACCCATCCCATCTCCCTCTTCATTTTACGAAAATAAATCCTGTGTTTGTGAAACATTCAAAGACAAGTGCCGAAGGACAAGTCTCTCTTCTTCTTTTTTTTTTTATTTTCCCAACTGGCCTCAGTGCATTTTGCAGAGCGCATGGCAAGGCAGTAGGCTGAATAAAACAAAATATTGCCTTATTGTTCAGCGTATCACACTGTTCTGTACACTGAACCAAGCTGGTACAGCGTGTGTGGCAAGGCAGTAGGCTGAATAAAACAAAATATTGCCTTATTGTTCAGCGTATCACACTCTGTTCTGTACACTGAACGAAGCTGGTATTCTCTGGCCAAAAAAAAGGTATGGCATCACACAGCTAACTACTACCCTAACGTCTATCAGAGGAGCCAACCACGGCTGCACTGGCAGCCCCAGTCCTGACATTTCCTATCTTCTGAACGCGGGCTCTACCCTCAGCAACGTTCTCTTAAACACTGCTTTTGTAGGAATTCTTTAGACACGCCGTACACAACACATTCCAAATGAGCTTTTCATTACTAACTACTTGTATTATGTATCAGTGAGCTCAATGACATTGATTTTCTAATAATATAAATTAACTGGCAAAGATAATTTCATCTATCATCAGTAGGGTTTTATTTCTGGCATCATGTTTAATAGTTAATCTTTCAAAAGATTAAATCAAGAGCTTTTTAAAATTCAAGGCAGAGCTTAAACTGCTGTAAAAATCTTCTTAATTAGGACTAAAACAGTTTGTGTGTTGTTGCTTAGATCTAAGTAGTGTAATGTTTTGCTTAGGTTTCTTCTTTCAGAGCAATTTAAAAAATCAAACATGATATTGCTGTGGCAAAAACTACGTAAGGCAGGGAAGTCTCCTGCATCTTCCTCGACCAGATGCTACTGGACAAGTTGCTGCCTGGCAACCTTAAACAGCAACCTCAAACTTTCCAATATCTTTTACCTCCAATTCCATACAATCTATACTTTTTTTTACCATTAACGATACAAAAGCTCTGATTCTTATGGTTATTGCATATCTGACAGAAGACAGCCACTGCTGTTAACAGGAGTATATTGCGTTACGTTGACTACATCTGCCCTGATCTGGAATTACAGACCTGAAAGAAATTCTTTAGGATTCCCCTGGGACATTTGCAGGGCAACCCCAGACAAGTGTGTCCTGCTCCCAGGAGCTCCCCAGCTCCCAGCACCCTTCCTTTTCTCTCTCTATCTCAGGCTTGGGGACAACAAGCTTCACACTCCTGGGGCTGTCCACAGCTCCCTGTTCCAGCTTGTTTTCCTCCTCTCAGCTTCCCATGACACAAGGCGCCCAATCTAAGACAATCCTGGCCTCTAATCCCAACCCCTTGTCCTTAGACTCCCCAATGTCACTTGGTACCGCTGAGGAGTCTTAAGCACCATCCAGAGGACTGGTGCACTGGTGCCCAGGCTGGATGAGAGAACCCATACAGGCGCAGACACCAGACTACACCACAGACTGCTCCAGCCTTCCGCAAACAGTGGGCTGGTATTTCCACGAAACAATTTTTTATCTGGCAGAAGGAAAACAAATCTCTTCTCGCCACTTTCTGGGCTCAGAGCTGTGTTTTTCTGCACACAAGGAGCATCTGTGAACTCAAGTAAGTGGTTCTGCAGAAGCATCCAGGACAAGGCTTTACAATAAACCACGTCCCCATGCTACACTTTACACCTCAGCCATCTAAAGGCTTGCTCTGATGTATGATAACCCTTTATCGAGCTTGTCAAATGCTTCCTGTGTGCTTACACCGGTGAGACATTACTGCCCAGCCAGGAATGCTTTTAAAGAAACATCCATGAAAAGATTCAATTTGGTTCCATCACGTGATTATTTTACTTACCCCTGTCTTTTCATCGAAGATTTTGATTCCCCCAAAGGAAACTGTTAAGAAGATTTTCTGTTTATGTTCTCCTTTCGAACGAGCCGCAGCAACAATTCCCTATTGAAACAAAGAACAGTTTGGCTGGTTTCATTACTCTTCCAGGTGCCACAGCAGAGCACAAAGATTTGCTTGTGGACAATTCACCACTTCTTTAGGAAAACTTATGGGCTTCCCAGGACCAGTCCCTCTCTTACTTTTTCAAGGCACCACATCTCTTTATGCTACCCAGAGAGCATTTCAGATGTGCTCCCACTTCCAACCCCTGCACCAGCTAATCCTCCACGAAATTTGTTTTCATGGAAGCTGAAGGCCATTTCTAGCACACTTTTCCCAGCTGTAAGATTTTTTTTTTGTTTTGTTTTTGGTTTTTTTTTTAAGAAAAAAAAAAGACAAACAGTGGAGGAAAAAGATGCCAACTTTTTTTTTTTTTTTTTAGAAAAAAAAAACCAAACAGTGGAGGAAAAAGATGCCAACGACTTTAGCTCACTTCATGGGCACACTTATGTGGAACAAGTAAAATCAAACTACACCTCTGCTGTAAATAACTGGTATTGAGGGTTAGTTTTTTTTTTTCATAATCTCAGGCTTTTATTGCTCAAGTGAACTTGTCGATATGCATTTCATGTATTATCCTCCCACAGCATAACTATAGCAGTAACTTCTACTTCCACCTTCTCAGGAGCCTGCCCTGATGAATAGCACTGTACTAAGATCAAATGCAACCAACTGCACTAGTAAATAAATAAAAATATTTAGCCTTTATCTGGTGCTCTGCAATTTCAACCTTTTCACAACCACTAACACGTTTTAAGACTTTCATGAGGTCGTTGTTCACATTCCACAGACATGCAAATGAAAGAGAAAAAATGAAGTCAGTTGTCAAAAGTCACTCCAAAACTGTATGCTTGGCCTTAAAACTCAGTTGCTGACACTAGGTTTCCAGAGCCCATAACTTCACGCTATGCTGCCTTACATACAAACGTGAATTTCTAATGTTCTCTTCCCTTAATAGTTTTAGTCACCTCACAGCACCATTTAGATCAGTCTTACCACTATGCAAACAGGTATTGGGCATCCAGGAGATGTGGAAATGGTAACCCAGGGAGGAGAGAGAAAAAAAAAACTTGGGCAGCAGAACAGTGACAATTCTCCCAAATTGCTTCTAGGAACTACGAAATGATGAGAAAAATCCAGTATACAATCAAAATGGGAAAGAACATTGTGGCAGATGTGATAAATCAACAGTGCACCTTTAAGAATAGTTTCTGCTTGTCATAAAATATTTGTAATTGATTTGTAAATTATCTACCAGATCTTTCTTTTAGATTGTTGAACCGTAAGATGCACGTCACCCTCTGCTGTTTTTTTTAATGAATAACCAACTACCTATTCTTTCCATTTTCTGCTAGTTGGTAAAGGTACTACTTAGTGATTTATTCTCCTGAAAAAATCAGTAATGGGAAATCCATCAGCTCTCTTGGTAGACTGCTGGGGAGAGGACTGGAAGGAAAAAAAGGGGGAAAAGCCTGTGGAGGGTTTACTCCTTGACCTAGCTTGTAACCCTACAATGCAGATGGGAAGCCAACAGCCAGCACTGCACTCAAGAAAAAAACACAATCCATCCTTCTCAACCACTCCAGCTCTTCCACATTTCCCAGGGCCACATAAAGGATGCTTCCTGTGGAGAGCTCTTAGGCTCTTTGAGGGTTGTAAAAAAAGATTGAACCAGAGAGAGATGTCTAGCATGCTCCAGGAAGCTCATCCTCCTACATCACTACTGCCTTCAGACTCTGCCTGCTCTCTACGTTAGCAGTCTGCTCCAAATCTGCTTTTTCTTTATGTTCTCCTTTTCTCCGTTTCTTTCCCCAAACTCTGGGGACCCCTCTTTATTTTCTCAGTGCACTGCCTCCTGACACTGTAACCCATCAATCCTGCCATTATAGGTACAATACATTATCCCCTCAGTGAGGACACCAGTTGTCCCCTACACCCCCCAATGTCACTCACCCCCTCTTATCTGTACCGACAGGAGAGAACGGCCAAAGGCAGGGCTGTAGTTGATCAGCACTGTCATGTGAAATGCTCTGATACACCATTTTTCTTCATAGTGGTTTACCTCTCCTTTTGCATAATAAAATTATTCAATTTGCAGGTGCGTTGTTTATAATTTGTGGACAAATTGCAGTGGTGTCAATCATGAATAACTAACTGAACTTGGAGATAATGTATTAAAATTAAACTGGGATAAGCCAGGAGTTCATGTAAAATTGACTGATTTCAATACATAATTAACTAGAGCGTGACTCACTGTCACAAAAGGAGAATGAGTAAAAGTTCAAGCTGGAATTCACTCCCCAGACTCCATAATATTAAACATTAAAAGTTTAATGCACCTTGAGCTTCATCATGGAATCTTGGCATAACTTGTCTCCTCGTGCGGCAGAAACCTCATCTATCCCAATCAGTTTTGCTTTGTATCGGACACCGTCACCTTTAAACCTCTTTATTAAAGTGGCTTCACTGCGATCCTGACCTGAAAAGACAAAAGGGAAACAAGGAAATTTGTGTGAGTGCAAAGGAAAACAAACGAATAAATACTCGCAATTAAGTGGCAAATTAGATCTAACTCCTACCTAAACATGCCAACATTTCAATAAAATTGGAAGAACAGTACTAATTCAATAAAACCTTTAGCCTTGCTACCTCAGATGAATTCACGGTGAAACCATTGCCATACTAAATCTCCTGCACAAAATTTGCACACAAATTAGTTTTACAGAAATAAGAGATAAGCCTGAATCAGACCTCATGGATCTGAAAACTTCTGATCCGTGCGGGGTTTTTTTTTCATCCAAAGACATTGGAGAATTCTTCATTTTGCAGACAAAGCTCTAACAGAAACATGCAACTATTGCCTTATATACTGACCGATCTAACCGTATCAGCAATATTTACACTATTACCATCTGAATGATGAAAAAACAAACGATGTTATTTGCCTATAGAATACTGATGCTCTAAAACCTCTGCAAAAAAATACTGTCTCCTTGTTTTGTTCTTTCTGCTTATAGATGTATTCAGAAAAAAATGCAACCAGCAACGTTGGCTCCCACAGGCTCACCCTGGCAAGTTTAAAAAATGGCACAAGAATGTTTCTTAATAAAAAAAAAGCAATCGGGGATAAGACAGCACAGTGCTGATAAGGCCAATGTACACAAACTACAATGCTCAGAATAGCCTGAACCACACCACGATGACAATACAGCAGTCCATGAAAGGGATAGTTTTATCAGGAAGACTTTTTTCCCCCGACTATCTGCAGAAGAGTTTATTCTGTGTCTTAGCTGGAAGAAATATGTTAGTTAGGGAATTAGTCTTCCTAAAATTGATTAAAGATACATTTTGCAGCTGTCTGTGGAATTTCTTGCTAGTATCTCAAAAAAACAGCAGTGAGCTGCAAGTAACTGCAACCAAACAAGTAACCAAACCAACTTCCCAGGCACAAAGCAGCAAACAAAAATGGGAGATGTTGAAGAATTTAAAGTTTTTTTCTCAGACCCAACAAATTCCACCAGAAAACCTGTCTAAATACAGACTGATGTTGCTAAAATCTATAGTATTACCACTGAGGAGCTCTAGTCACAGATTACCCCCCATCTTTCTAGCTATTGTGAAAAATGAACAAAGAGCCAGAGGCTG